GGACATTCCGTGAGCATTGCACGGTTGTCACATCTACCATCAGAGCAGTCCATATTGTTGCTTCGGCAAAAACACCTAAGAAAGGATGTTTGCACTTTCCTCATCAAACTGATTGTTTCAAATAAAGGCTTACATAAGAGAAACTGCCTTCTTTTTGCTTTCAACCTTATAGATACATTGTTCTATTTCCTCATAAACTGGAACTGGAGGAACTTCAACAGATGATGAGGGAAGTTCGCAAGCATTATCGTCTTTCTTAACGTCATTGCTCTCCGTTTTTACCTCAAAAATAGTAATGTCTCAAGAAATCATCGGATCTTCCCTTATCTATACCAAAGCACGAAATTGAACTTACTGTATTTACAGATACAGACTCCGCTGAAGTAACAGCGTCATCAGGAGATGAATGTGTTATTGAACAAGTCTCTGATTTTATCAACGGTTGATGGTTAGCCTCATTAGTAGAACAATCCTATAATGCGATAGAAGGTTGCACAATGAAAAAATACTTTATATTGAAGACACCGAAGAAAAAAATTGAGAAAACTGATTCTTCATAATGGATGGACATTATCCTATTCAAAAGATAGTTGCAAGAATGTCGAGATTATGCACTCATTTCCTTTTGTAGCAAAAAAACAAATCCGAAATTCAAGGAAGAGGAGGTAAAAAGCAAATGAGATTATTTATACTTGCTAAATGATAAAACAGTACGAAAATTAGTGCGGATACCTCTACGGCCATTGGTTTGTCTTCGTTAGGATATAGCCCGGATGTAGATACTGTGTTAGACTGAAAGAGCATTTCGTGAAAAGAAACTCTATACTTTTGAAGAATAAAGTTCTGGGTAAGTCACACCTTAACCTCCTCCTCTGGGACTGGCAATGGTTGTATTTTCAAGGGTGCAGGCGGAATGCTAGCAACTTTGCGGATCTTTTCTTCTAAGCGCTTCCGCTCAAATTCCCGCATTAGAGCTTGTATATTATCCTCAATGCGTTTCTTCTCTTCAGGTGTAGGTTGAATCTTTGCCGGAGCAGCAGGTACAGTGGAAGTAGGGACAGATACAGTCGTTGCAGTTGGAATTGGCCCATCTGATTCATCTCCAGAAG